AGGGGGTCGGACTCAATGATCTATTGAGGTCCCTTCCGACCCTAACACCTATGAATCTATGAAAGCGACCAAAACGCTGGCTTGCATCCATAGATGCTTCTCAAGCAAATCCCGGGACATCATTCTCCCCCTGTACTAGGCCTTGGTGAGGCTGCAGCTGGAGTACTGCGTCCAGTTTTGGGCTCCACAATTCAAAAAGGATGTGGAGAAGCTTGAGAGAGTCCAGAGAAGAGCCACGCGCATGATCAGAGGTCAGGGAAGCAGACCCTACGATGACAGGCTGAGAGCCCTGGGGCTCTTTAGCCTGGAAAAGCGCAGGCTCAGGGGTGATCTGACGGCCACCTATAAGTTTATCAGGGGTGACCACCAGTATCTGGGGGAACATTTGTTCACCAGAGCACCCCAAGGGATGACGACTAGGTCGAATGGTCATAAACTACTACAAGACTGTTTCAGGCTGGACATAAGGAAGAATTTCTTTACTGTCAAAGCCCCCAAGGTCTGGAACAGCCTGCCACCGGAGGTAGTTCAAGCGCCTACATTGAACACCTTCAAGAGCAAACTGGATGCTTATCTTGCTGGGATCCTGTGACCCCAGCTGACTTCCTGCCCTTTGGGCAGGGGGCTGGACTCGATGATCTTCGGAGGTCCCTTCCAGCCCTAATGTCTATGAAATCTATGAAATGTATAACTCCATAAGAATTCAACACCCAGAATCCTTCAAAAGAACTTGCCGTAACTGAAGGCATTTTAAGATCTATTTCACACCTTTAACCTTTACACTGTCACCTATTAAGAGGCGTGAAGCTGAAATGGCTATACTTAAATAAGCACATTTCACATTTTCCTCTATCCAGCATTATACAATACATGCATATTCCAAAATTACTAAATCTACCAATTATTCATTATTTTTAAGCTATCTAACCCTGGGAAATTTCAATATACAGATCCTCCTCCACAAGGCTCTTATGCAAGCACGCCACCCATCTAAAAATAAAATGTATTCGTTCCACTGGGGCTTTGTTACATTTCACATAAATATTTTCTTACCAAGGCTGCAGTTCAATTAGATAATCTTCAAACTGTGCGAAATACAACTAATTAGATACTTTCTAAAAAGACTACCAGCATGTTGTACATGAGAGAAAAGACGACAAAGGAGATAGAACTATTACACACACACATTACCAGATTAATCATTTTAAGTTACCTGGTTCTGGGAAAATAATAAAAATATAAAAAAAGAAAGGATTGCATGAAGTGAATTCACCAGCATCTGTGCTATTGCCCCCACATTACTGTTAAACCTTACAATATATTTTAAGAGCACTTACTTTTAGAAGCATGTGTTTCTCATTGGGTGTTAGATACATTTTATTTTCATAGTAGTCCACACACAAATTCACAATATCTGCAAGCAGCTCTTCATACCCAGCAATCACTTCAAGCTGTTGCTGTAAAGACTAGAAGGAAAAATAAGAATATTTATCCTACTCGTTATTCCTTAGCAAGATTAACAATCCAACACTGAAAACATATAAAGTAACAAATATATATTTTTAAAAGACTGTTAAAACTCACTTGTGTTATCTTGTTGTGATTAGCAAGGAACATGGAAAGGTTCTGGGATTCCTGGATGGACTGAGGATCAGCCATTTTACGCAGAAACTGCGCAGCACTGGTCAATTAAAAGAAATATTTAATTTTTTTTTTTTTAAATCACATACAATTCCATCCATTCCTGACAGAAACTGCATATGTTAGTCTCTCTCTTTACACCAGGGATAGGCAATTTTTTTTGGCCGGAGTGCTGAAAAAACTACAATGTCTACCTTGGAAGATGCCAGAGTGCCAGCATGCCAGAAAAACAAAACGGGGCGCCGGCGGGGCCAGGGGGGTGTACATGGCAGGATACACTGCATATTAGTATATTTAATAATCAGAAATGTTGCCTTTGTTGTGCTGTATTCCATTTTGGCCAAGCATGTTGCAATGAAAGCAAGAGAAAAAAAAAGACAAATGAGAGAGAGAGAGAGAGAGAACACCAGACACACTACATGCACACGCACATAGAGAACCACGTGCACAGACACAGAGAACCACGTGCACACCCAGAACAGACACATGCACACAAACATCCGCAACCAGACATGTGTGCGCACACAAACACAGAGAACCAGACAGTCAGACAAGCACACAGAACCAGATGCTGGGCTCGGAACAGGTGGGAGTCAGACGGGCTCAGCTGCTGCCAGCCAGGAAGCCCAGGCTGCTCCCAGCAGGTAGCTGGGTGGCTGCAAGCCCTGCTGCAAGCAGACTGGGCTCCGTGGTTGGCAACAGCTACTCAGAGCGTAGGCCGGTTGCAGCCAGAAGGCTGCAAATATCTACTCTGGGCTCCGGCTTCAGCTCCATACCATCGGATGTACGTGCGCCTTGGAGTGGATGGTGGGGATAAAGGCAGCACAGCCTTTCCACTATCCACTCTGAGGTCTACGTGCAGTTGCTGCCGGCATGGAACTGATGCCAGGGCTGTGAAGCCCAGCGCAGCTGTTTGCAGCCTACTTGCTGCCTGCTGCAGCTTCCCAGAGCCCAGGCTGGCTACAAACAGCTGCGCCAGGCTCCAGAGCCCAGTCACCAGCTCTGTGCCAGCAGCGGGGGAAAAGCCGGGGCTGCGCTGCCTCAGGTCCCCTGCCCCCGCCTCCCTCCCCATCAGCTCCAAGGCACACGTGCACCCACCAGTATGGAGCTAATGCTGGAGCCCAGAGCAGATGTTTGTAGCCTCCTAGCTGCAACCAGCCCAGGCTCTGTGTAGCTGCTGCCAACCATGGAGCCTGGTCTGCCTGCAACAGGGCTTGCAGCCACCCAGCCGCCTGCTGGGAGCAGCCCAGGCTTCGTGGCCAGCAGCAGCTGCCTAGAGCCCAGGCTGGTGGTGGTGTGCCGAGCAAAATGGCTTCATGTGCCATGCTCAGCACACATGCCAGCGGTTGCTGACCCCTGCTCTACATATTCACTGCTTTAAGATCACTCATGAGTACTAGATACTGCCACACTTATTTTGCTGCAACTTTTCAAAAAACAGGAGATTCAACACAGGTTGATATTGTGCAAAAACTGCACTGTTTTTGAAACTATCAAAAATTGGTTACATAAGGATGAACTGATAAGGCCCCTTACCAATGCACAACACCCTCCCCTTACGAAGGATGATGGTAACTAAATCCATGAACAGTGCAACCATGGGTCTTTACTAGCCATGATTGTTGTTTTCAACTCTCTGCTTACAGTCCAAAACACCCCTCCCAGAGCTAGCACTCCAGTAAAGAGCTGTTCCAGATGGACACCTGGAGTGCAGTGATACTATGCCAGGTTACACCAGCTGATGATCAAATCTCAAGGACACGTTCTGTTCCCTTGGAACACTGCTCTGGAGAAACAAATTATTCTGAAACCAAAGGACAACTAAAAGGAGAATTCCTCATAGGACAACAGAAATTCAGCTGAGCAGAAGCAGCATGAATCAAACAAGCCATTTATTACCTTAATCGTGATCATTATGAACCACCTGCCACTGTACTTCACAGTTGTTGCAAGTGCTGTGTGTTTAAGGGAAACACTCTCTGCCTCCTACATTTGCCATAACACACAACTTGCAAATGTAATACACTGTAGTTTGAGTCTGTTTTGGGTTCATCACCAATGTTCTAGCCTTCTCGCCTCCTGCTCTGTCTACAGTAGCTGAGGACAGCAAAGCCAGACAGCCTTACAGGCTACTGAATTAATGGTGACTAACAAAGAGATCAAGGTTGCATGTTAAAAAACAGGAGTATCATACTTGGGCAGAGGACAAAAAAGTCTTTCATACTAAAAAGAAAAAATTTATCAAAAAATGAATGCATAAAAGAGACAGACTGGCAGTTTGCATGCCTGGAGAACAAAGCTGTTTTGGTAGAACAAGCATAAAAAAAAATTTTTTTGGTCACAAAGATGTACCTTCAGGCAGGTCACCCTTTTGTTTCAGTGTTATCTTACCTATACTTTTAAAAATGCTTCCAAATAATACCAGTTCTTTACATAAAAAGAGCCACTACTGCCATCTAGTGTGGGTTCAGTGTTAAAGTAAGAGTTTGCTGTCATTGCATCTCACCGCTTGTAGGCAGAGTGGTCGTTCTTCACGCTGCATTTCATATTTTTCAGCTCATCCAGTACTGCAAACATGTTGATGAATTTGCCCAGTGTGATGAGATATGCTTCGGACACAAAGTCTTTCCTCCTCTCTGCATGACATAAACGTCTCACCTCTCCACAGAACCGTTCAATTGCATTTCTCTAGCAGAAGGAATGAAGGGAAAATTCCAACTTTCAGTGAAGAAACAGCTTCAGTAGGAAATTTCATTGTGTTATCTAAATGTTCTTGTCTTTTCCTTCTCCTCCTTCCATATAAGACTCTTTAAAATGCCTTGTATGGAGAGTGTGGGCACCTAACTCGTGGTATACAGTGCATCCCAGAGGCAGGTGCCTAAAAGTGGCAATGCTCAAATAAGTCTCTGTCAATTTAGCTGAAAGTTTTTAAGTGAAACATAGGGACAACTCACCCCTCTTTGTAAGTCACATACTTATTTCTATCATTGACTTACAGTAATACAATCTGAGCCAAGCCACATAAAATAGAGCACACAACAAGTTCAAATATTTTCTTCTATTAATAATCATGGTTTCAACTTTCTTTTACCTGAAAGTACATAAAATTCATCAGTTTTGTGACCTCTGGCTCCAGAACGTCCACGGTTTTCTCATATATTTCTACTCTGTTAGGCTGTTCATTGCATTTGACCTAAAGACAATCAAATAAATGGTTACTGAACAGTCCGTCCAAGCTGAAACTCCAGCAAAAACTCAGATCCAGAATGACACGTCTAACTAAGAAAATGTATGTATGGTAATGTTATTCATCCATATTTAGGTCCAAATTGTTGTTTTTAGTATCTCAGTCCTGTTTTTCAGGGAATACTATTTTCCAAATATAAAGGTGCCTAGAAGAAATCCAGCTGGATTCTTACTTGGCCTCCATCATTTTAGGCCCTGGGCGCCACACCTACAGTAACTAATTTAACCCCCAACCATCTCTGTGAAATAGTATTTTCCGCATTTTACAAGCTGGGGAATCAAAGCACAGAGATTCAGCAACTTCCCAGTCACAGGAGAAAGAGAGGCAAAACTGAAAACTGAACCCCTATAATCTACATGATAATCTGATGGTTTCACATGTATTACATTTGTGTCAGCATATGATATTTTTTGTTAGAAATTTTGTAAATCAAAAACTATTAAAAGGAATCACTATTTTGTTGCTTTTCCAGTTCCTCTCAACTCTTAAAAGTTCACATTTTAAAAGCCACTCAATTCGTAACTATGGACTGGTGGTATCTATGGGTATTTTTTTTTAATTAAATATAAACGCATATCTATAATACAGGGAGCCTCAAATACCTAGGAAAAAAATCACCAACTACACCTTCCCTATTTTATGTTTTTTGATCAGAACTTTTTAAATCTCTCCTTAACATTATCAAGTTACTAGTCACGTACAGTTTGAATTCAAGCTATAGATGCTGCTTTGCATTATCTTTTTTTATTTGCTATTAAATGAAATAGAAGGCTTTGAACTCAAATAAACTATTATCCTTCCAGAGCATGTAGCTTTTGTGCTATTCCCGAAGTTGGCAGAGAGAATAATGCACAGTAAAAAGAAATGCTTCCCAGGTTCCCTCACCAAACCACAGAAGAGGTGGTGTCATAGTACTGTCAGCTTTGTGGGCTCAGGAGTAAGGACTCCTTCAAATTCTTTGCTAAAGCTGCTGACCCATACAGTCACAGGGGAGAGAGGGAGGTCCAAGTTAGGCAGGGTGACACTTGAATTTTGGTTTTTTACCTGAGGAATGGCTCTTGAGCAACTTCTCCATGTATACAGCATGACAGCATACTCTTGGCCCTCTTCCAGCATTTCATTCTACAGTAAAGAAAAATATTCAACATGTGAGGAGCCACAGCACAGAAGAGATTAATTCTTCATTAAATCTTCCCCCATATCCTGCACAAAACCAACCTATTTTTCTTACTAGAATACATGTGTACAAAGCCACACACGATGTATTTTAAATGGTACGTCACCTTAGCAGCACGTTAAAATTGCCTTACTAAAGCAAATAGTGCAAGCAGGTTTCTATTTAAAAGCCCAACTCAACACGATTCATAATTTACCCAAAAAAAATTACTTCAGCTGTTCAAACCAACCTCTAAAAATCCTTCTATTCTTAATCATCTCTCTCAACAGTACTCTACTACATGTGAATTGAGATGCACAGAATCATCTTCACTATTTCTAATGGATGGAAATACTTTCACCATTTTAATGCAATGAGTATGTTACTATAATATGGTCAGCAAACTTGGCTCATGACAAAGACAAACATGAAATCTAAGCAAATCATGTTTTAACTGCATTCAAGACACTAAAATCACCAAAACAGAACTGGGAAACAATAAGGATCTTTACATTTATACACAGAAAAATGGAAAAGCGTTAAAACGTGGCGTAGTAAAATTTTCAGGGATAGGAAAGCAATCCTGCTTTCACATGAAAGGAAAAGCGATTGGTAACAATCAAATAACCAAGTCCAGATTCGTGAGTACGAAGACAGGTTCAGAAGTGTGTTGCTGTAAGCCCACATGACCACCTACAAACTATCCAAGTTCTCACTGATTTACAGAGCGGCCCACTGTTTGTAAGCGATATCAACAGTCACACTGGGCATTCTCACATCTTCCAGGAGGTGAGAAAGAGGTCCATATTTGCCACGTTCTGAAATGGTCCACTGAGGAGCACTTTTTCCAGAGCGGGTTGAATCCAGGAAGTACTTCTGCACAGCCAGTAACCAGTGACTGAATGGGATATGAATTTCATCCCAGAATTCTTCACAGTGCATGCAGTGCGTCTCAGGATAAACAAATGAAAAACTCTCTCAATCCCAAAGTGGCTTGTGAAATTTCAGAAGTGTCTTCAGAAAATTCTGGGAGATCTTTATAAATTGCTAAAGTTCAGGTTGGCCACGGTTTGATTGTATTTACAAGTTTGGGCGTATGTGTATCTACAAATATTTGTGGGGAGGAGGAGGATGGGCGTGCTCTCATGCACAAACATTACATGGGTCTTGACTTTAATGTTCCAGTTAGAATCATTATCATGGCATTAAGTTGCTCATCCAGAGATCTGGCACAGGTACCGCCTGCTGAGACAAAGCACAATATTTAGCAGTGGACCTGTGCCAGTGCTAGAGCCCCTTTTCAAAGCACGTATATAATCAAGACACCATGCCAGGTCTACAAAGTTCTCAGATTAGACTAGTGCTTGCTCTTTTTTTTTTTTTTTTTTTTTTTTTTTAAACACAACCCCTTTCTAGATGAGCTTCTAAAGTCAAAACTTTTATCCAGATACTTCAGATAACGATTGTTTAAAAGCAGCTGATTACAACAGGTAAAACTAAGTGGTTTCTCAGTGACTTTGTTGTGTAGGTGCAAGAGTGAGGAGGATCTTCCAATACCAAGCTTATTCCACTATTACCTTAGAGTCTGTGAAGATGGTGCTGAGTTCTTTGCTCTGTACTGCAGGAGTGATGTCATCAGTATAGGAGAACTTAAAAAACCTGTGTCCAGCAAGTCACTAATACAGATGTTGAAAAATGAAGGAGCTGATATGCATCTTTCCCAAACCAAAATAGAGTGGAATGGGAACTTTCTGGCACACCAGGTAAACTTTCCCCCATTAGTCATAATAACATGGATGTTGATAATACAAAGTGATGTCAGAAAGCTGAAGAATTGTTTAACAAAAGCTAAGGACAGAGACTTCCAAGCAATATTAACTAACCCAGTAAAGAGACTATTTGTGATGGGTAAGAAAAACAGTGAGCTAACCAAATGTTTCTTGCGAGAGATCATTCCTGAAGCTGGTGCCTCTTCGACATGGGGGGGCAGCGTTTGCTAACCCAGTTTTTTTCCTGAATTTATATCTATCATACCATAAGAAAACTGGTGAAAAACGTACTTACCATGCTAGAATGGACACAAGCTTGCTCAATGTATCTTGCAATGCCTGTAACAAATGCATTTCTATCTTCAAAATTAGTGTTGAAGTTTGGCTGTATGAAGAGGGGAAAAAAGACACACATCAAGATAGAAAAAATCCAAATGCCAGTACTTATAGAAAGGCAATGGAGAATGGCAATATTGCCAAAAGGCAAATATCAGAATGGATATTCTTGTACCTGGTAAAGCAGAGATGATGGAGGGGGTTCTATGCATGGTTGCTGATCTGGTAATGGTAATTCTTCCAAGAGATCCACATTGGACAAAGCATCCTCCAAAGTAACTTGAGCAGCCATTTTGCCTGTAGGGGTAAAAAAAAAAAATTATTAAAAAAAAAATGGGTGATGACAGTAACAAAGATTATTTATTTCTGATTTGGGAAATACACAACTTCACTGTTACAAAGACATTTAGGTGAAAATCATCCTCAAAAGGAAACTAACAAACTGAAAGCTAAAAGTAATAAGAGTAAAAAATAAATTTCAGGTTCTGCACATCCTGTTTTCCTGCCAAATTTTGCGGTTTTAGAAATATCTCCCGTCCCCGCATTGCTGAGAGAGAGACCCATAAAACAATGAGGCAGCCTGACTGCTCACACAAGGATGTAAAAACAGAACAGGATAAAAAAGAAAAGTTATGTCTGTCATGACCCAAAAGGCATGATTGTGTGCGTGTGCTTCGGCACCAGAATTATCCCCGTCAAGTTGCAGAGCATTGCACGGGAGAGTTTCCTGTAGCAGAGGAAACCCCGGTGCAGGGACGAGTTTCCCACCTTTTCTGCAGCTTCTTTTGCAGAGTGCATTGCTCATGTTGCAAGAGGAATGCACGGTGCAAAAGAGTTCCCGCCACCGGTATGCAGATTCGTTCCCCGTGATTGGCTAGTGCTAAATTATTCACACGTGGCGGCTAACGATTGGCCTGTTAGCCGTATAAGAGGCTTGAGCAGTTTCCACCCAAGCCGAAGAGGACTCCACATCCATCTCGTGGGGACTCTGGGTACACGGCAGGGTAATAGAAACCCTGTGTGAGATCCAGAGGAGCGTGGCGGCCTGATCCACCGCCCACCTCTTCCCGTCTTCGAACGCAACTTTTATAAGACGTATTTACGATTCCTATTTTGGTGGCTCGTTCACCCAGAGCATCCGGAGCTCTGTACCGTGGAGCCTAGCAACCTCCACGAGACCGTCTGTGTTGTCAGTCTGTAACTGCAACTTAATCAAGCTTTCCAGCCTACACCACTGCCATCTCGGTGTAAGTAAACAATCTTTTAAACTACCGCTACGCGTCCGTGCCTAATTCCAGCTCGAAGGCCTTCCCTCTCCGCCCCGGCGTGCCTGGGCTGCTGGCCACAGCCCGCGTGCAGCGCGAAAAGGGCTCGGGTCACTCCCGGCCTGCACAATGTCAAACCAAGCAAGCTAAGAATACAGCTTACTTATAGTCTCTTTCAATTACAGTAATCTTGGAAGAGTCTTGTAACACAACCAAGTATAGTTTTCAGACAGAAGTGTAAATTTTAAAATGATGCCTCTAAAGCTTTTTCCATAACATCCCACAGCTGCTACCACCAGCTCAACAAGTTTGGGCCAAGGCAACAGTACTTTAAGCACAAGAATTGGTTCTGAACAAAATTAACAACATAAAGGTGCTGGTGACCTCCTAGACCAGAAGTAGCCAACCTGTGGCAGGAGTGTCATAGGTAGCCCCTTTGTGTGGCATGTGACCAGTCAGGAAGGGGACAGGCAGCACAGCAGCAGATGGGGCAGGAGGCAGAAGACAGAGCAGATGATCAGGCAGGGAATATAGGGCAGAAAGCAGGAAACAGAACAGATCAGGCAGGGAGCGGAGCAGAAGAGAGAAAGCAGAGCAGCAGATCAAGCATAGTAAGGGGATCTGGGAGGGTGTGGAGCTCATGTGTGGCATTGCCAGCCAAAAAGATCAGCCCCTACTGGGGCAAACAACTTAACTGGACATAAACTAGGGCCCTGGCTGGTGTTACATTTATGGTGCATTCAACATGTTAACTGCAGCATGCCACAAGTTCAGACAGTGCGCAATACAATAAAATAGCGAACCAGCTGCAAAGATATTTCACATTTAATGGATCATCTTTGTGGCTGGTTTGTATTACAATTTAAATAGAACGTATGGCGTGTGTCCTGCTGATCATCAAGATGGGGCACATGGCAGCTCCGGGACCTGGAGCTGCTCCCCACTCAGTGAGCAGAGGTAAACCTAGTTCCTGGACCCGGGACTTGAGGCTGCCCCCTGCTCATTGAAAGGTACACTGGTAACTGCAACTGAATAAAGTCTAACTCAGGGCAGGGTAAAATACAGCCTGCGGGCCAGACCCTGTCCACTAGGCAATGTCATTCCACCTACGGGCACCCACCATCTAACTGTACCTAACCCAGCCCATGTGCCTTGCTCCCACCCTCGTGGATGGACAGGCCCAGGCCAGCCAGCACGCGGCT